CACGAGGCATTTTATACAAATCTACATACCAGCCATTCATCTCTAGGCTCAGCTGTCTTAAATGCCTTCACTCGCCCACCTCGTAACGAGTGGCAAAGCCTCCACTCCAACACAGACGTGTCTGTCCCCAAAGTCCATGTTTCTTCCTCCAAACCAAAGAGTTGATTATCCCCTTTCTTTTTAGTAGCAAATTAACGAAATTCGTCTTTATATTTTAAAATTTTGCAGCAGAGTTACAAGAAAACAATATAAAATCTCTTGGTTTCACGTGCTCAAGCACTTTCCAGATATAGAAAAGCTGGATTACGCCCAGAATGACCCAGAAGCTCATTTTCCTCTGGTATCAAAATTAATCTTTTTTATTTTAACAACCCAGAGTCCTTTCTTCAGCATTTGCCTCAAAACATATTGCTTTTGATTGCTAGTGATCTCTTCACATCGAAGAGATTGAGACTCTAATGTTTTCTGAAGTTTTCAATGCAGTTTGCTGTCTTTACTTTTTGAAGGCAGAGAAAATAAAGGGAAAGGAGCATATTTCAAAATGTTACTGGCATCAGAGTTGAGCAACTGAGTCTCGATGTTTAAACTGCCACAAACACAGGGAGTGATAAAGCCAACCCCTTTCCTCCGGCGAGGAGATTAGCCAACACTCTCTGGGAACCACTTCTCACAAGGCCCATCTTAAATGGGTCACCATGTACCTGGGAAGGATCCATAAACACACAGTCCGGTGCAACTCTTGTGGGAAACCTGAAAGTAGCCAGCGGCATCTTGGTGTGACAAAAAGCCTGTGAGAACCAGAGCCTGTACGTGAAGCATTCAATTTTACTGTTCACGTACATGTATATATGACAGAATTTTAATTATATGGTGACCTCGTCTGGGTCACTGACCTAGGAAGTAACAGAATCGTATGAGTTTTAAATGTGTTGAATTCATCCCGTAGGAATCTCACAGTGTGTGGTTGAAGAGGTTCAATGTCGTTTCAAGGCCCCAGACTCGGTAAAGGGTCCCTCACAGAGTTTGTGTCCATTCACCAAAGAAGAAAGCCAGCTTCCCCACACCCTGTCCATCTGGATTTTGAAGGCTGACTGTCATGCCAGGCCCCATGTTGCTGACATGATCTCGCGAGGTTGATAACACGGTGAGGTCTCCAGAAGTCAACATCGCTCCCTGTGCATCTCCAAGAGCGTGGTGACCACAGCTCTGGGACCATTTTTTCTCTGCCTGACTCTCTCTGAAAAGCACTAGGAGGAATTCTTTACTCAAGTGGGGAACAGACACAGCACTCTAGCCGAGCCATCAAAGGAGCCTGAGCCAGGAGTGAGGAAAGCATAGACCTAAGAAAGCTGCTTCCTTCACGAGGCCGGTCTCCCCACCTACAGAATGACACACGTCTTAAAACCAAAGGAGATAAAGCACGCAAAGTACTTTGAAATATATAAACACATATTATTAAAAGGTAAGATGTAGTCACTATTCATAGCTTCCAGCCTTGTGGGGTAAGGAGCTCCAATGTGTCTTCCACTATTGACAGTTCAGGGTTTTTGTGGTCTGGCTGTTTTGCAGATTTGAATCTAAGAAACTCGTGTTGTAATGGCACGTGATGATTGCTAACCTTGTTATACTCAAGATATCTCGAGCACAAAATTAGAGAAAGTCTACTATTCAGTTCAGGAATCGTTCAGTCCTGATCTGGAGCTTTCACAGAAACTCACTTTGGCCATCTGGTCCGCGGTGTCGCCTCTGGCGCCCAGGTAGACCATAACCATGGTGGAGGAGATGCCCCATGGAGAGAAGAAGAGATTCTGGGTAGAGCTGGTATTTGCCAGATGCTTGAAGAAGTTGAGGGCAAAAATTGTGTTTGCCACATAGAGGTCTTCCATTGTTTCAACCTGGAAGGCAAGCGAGGAAGAAAGAACAGCTCTAAAAAGTGATGTGGCATTTTGGGTGGTGTCGGCAGGGTAGTACAGGCCGTACCCTGCACAGGGCAGGGTTCCCTCTCTATTCTCCCTTCATGACACAACGTGAGGTAGAGCCAGGTCGGCATTATGGTCATGTGACCTATGCTGCTGTAACGGGCTCTGCTGTCACCTTCTTGAAATTCTCAATAATCTTAAACATGGAGTTCTGCATTTTCCTTTGGCACTGGATTCTGCAAATTACGTAGCCTATCCTGAGATGCAGTGAACAGTTAAATGATGAGTAGTGGAACTTCAGAGAATAATGATCCTAATAGCAATAACAATAAATAGCGTTTATTGAACTCCTACAGTCCAAGAGATGCTGTTGTACTTACAATTTCACCCTTACCAAAATGCTGAGGAGGGCCCTGCTCATTCCCTTCTACAAAGAAACTGCTGTACACAGAGGATAAGAAAAGTGACCATTGCCACTTGACTATAAGGGGGAAGACTAGGAATTAAAGCCAGGTGGGTGGTCCCCAGGTCATGCTCCCAACTTCTATGCTTATCTGCAAATACCACACACACTTGCAAACACATGCATGCCACACGCACACTTATCCTTGTTGGATCCAATCGAGATGATCAATCTTCTTTCCAATTCTCTGCTTCTGGAAGGGACTGAGACTCACTGTTTGGAGGTTGGGACTTTCAGTCCTACCTCGGGCATCTGCCTCCTTCCACCCACACGCATATCACAGCCTTGCTACGAGAGAGCTTCCTGTGCTGAGGAGTTCATTACTGAAAGTGCTGGAAAGGCCTCCATCTTCTCCAGCCACCTGCTAGCAGAGAACACTGCAGGGGTGATCCTGGGCATGCGACACACACATGCGCACGCGCGCGCACACACACACACACACACACACACACACACACACACTTATCGACCATCTGAAGGTAAATAACAGACACACCTTCCAAGACCTAAGGCTTCACATGGAGCCAAATGCCCGGACACACCCAAGTGCATGTGGGTATCTGTCCGTACTGGCCAATAATCATCTTTCTGACTGCATGTTGTGCTTTCACAATGGCTTATATAACACACCCTGCAATTACCAAAATATATAAATATATCAAACAATGCTGACATGCAACATTTCACAGCAAATCTTCTGTGACAGTGGTTGCTCAGAGCTGGGGAGGAGCTGGGGAGGTCCCCGGGTGAGCAAGCCTGCTGCCCCGTCTCTGCTCAGCAGGGCTCTCCACTGACGGCCAGCAGGCGCTTCTCTGCCTAATCCACCGCTAACCTTCTAAAACACTTGGTTCACGACCAATTCTTTTTCAGAAAGTTTGCAATTTGCATCAAAATTTCCCGTTTGAAACACCACCCGATTGCATTTTATGAAGACAAAATAGTCATTTAAGTAAAACTTGTCCCCGAAACTTTCCGCCTCTTCTTCTCATTTAATCTTCATAGCCCTTCCGGAGGCAGCTCCCATCACTTTCATCGTAAGTGTAGATTACAGCCTGACGCGCGGAGAGGTTAAGTAACTCGCACGAGTTCACAGAGTTTGGATGCGGGGGTGCAGGAATCAAGCCCAGGTCGGCTTTGGAAACTCACTCTGTCCAAATGCGCACACGCCTAAGGGGCAATTAACTGTATTTAATATAAAAAATACTACCTGATATTTGTGAAAGTTACCAAATTCATTCAACTGAGTTGTTCTGTTTAATTTGTGTAATTACTTGCCCACAGTAACTCCTGTCACACAAATGAAAACATGAAAATGTACATTGCACAGCTTGTTCGTTTCAAAGCATACCACTGTCTCAGTCTTCTGATTCCAAGTCCAGGGATTTTTCTACAAACCTTTCAAAAAAGATTTGAGAAATGTATAGTTTTAGAAATCTATGACAGCATACGTGTACAGCGTTTCCTGACCCTCAGACCAGTCCACGCCTTATCTTTGGGTGGGAATCTGCCTAGGACAATGTAAAATTAAAGCCACAAAGCAACATCAAATAACATAATCTCCCAGAACAGGTAACACCTGTTGTGAATTTCTTAACATCAGAATAAGTTATACAACTTTATTTACTCCCAAATATTATGCTCCTAATGAATGTTGGAATGAATAGATGGAAAGCAAATGTGAGGCTGGGTTCCATGTGTCTGTGGCAGTTCCTGACACACAAGTTGACAAATGTGCCACTGAAACTTGGCACAGGTCACCAAGAACTTGGGAGGTACCACCAGCACACTACCACAGTCTCCCTTCCCTCTGGCACTGGACGTTGGATTTGAATTTGCTGTGGTATTTAAAACAATTTTTATGTGACTACACAGGGCAAATAGTTTGAAATTGACCAGAAAAATCAGTGAGCCCAAAGAGAAAACAATCATTTCAAGGAAATGTCCCACCCAAAATTACCAGATTTTCCCCCTCAAAATTAAACGCAATTTATGTTCTTTGATGACTTTCATAAGGAATAATTGTCATTTTATGAGGGGCTAAATTATTTATTGAACTATTACCTCAGTCTATCCAACAAGTTTGGCTAATTTCTCCCTTTTAGTAAATTGATCGATTATTGAACTGACCCAGCCCAGAAGTTTGCTTAATTTCTACAGTTTCTGATTATTTTGGATGGACACTAAATCATCTTTTAATTTTTTAATAATTATAAACAATTTACAGATTACTTTCAGTTGCTTAAATTAACACATTTTAATTAACCTAGATAGTCCCATCAAATGCAGTGTCAAAACACTCACTAGTAAAGAATATATATATATATACTGTCCTGTTCTATAAAACTGACATCCCAACTCAAACATACTTTTGGGTTTGGTTAATGGTACATAGGCATTTGCTGGCTTCTGAGATTCAAGACTAAGTCTTGCTATTAATGTAATTCAAATCTTGAACTAGAATATTTTCAGTTACGCAAACAACTAAAGAAGAGAACAGCACTAAAGTTTCGCTCATCCTCTAAAAACATCCCACACTTTAATTTTCATTGTTAATAATACCAGTACGAAGAAAGAGAAACAATGAAAGCACATTTCATAGAGATGGCAGTGGAAATCACTGAAATACCTTATTTTCTGAGGTGCTGTATGACAGGAAACGGTCCTCTGAGAGTTGTTAGAGTTCAGACATGGTGATGACTGGTTTTATAAAGCTTGGCCCCGCCCACAGACTTTTTTTTTTCTCTCTCTCTTTCTAACCTGTATCCTTTGAGTGATTCAGAAAGACATCACTAGAGTAAAAAATACTTGTTTGCTAAGGCACCGTTTAAGAAATTTTGGGGGAGGATGATGTCACTCAGAAACTTATGGCTTTGGCAATATCTACCCATGCCTGTTAAAATTAGCTAAAACCTGTCGGTCCCAGTTTCAAGTGACCCCTCTGCACCTGTGCTCAAGGATAATACCAAATTCCACAGTATCCCTCCTATCTTAGCAATACATAAAGGCAATGGACTCTTCTCCATATATAGACTCTAGGCAACTCCCCAGGGACCCTATGGCATGGAAAGAAAAAGAAGATCATTGTTTTCTTTCTTAGAAATTCTATATTTTAAAATGCCTTACATTTTCTCAAGCTATAATGTCCTGAATAATTCTGGGTTCCACCCTAATCTCCTGTCAATAGCCACACCCAAAACACTTAATATTTGACCTTGTTTAGAAGAAAGATCTTATCTTTCATTAAACAGTGAAAACCCATGATGTGCTTTAAGTTAATCTTTAACTCTGGGTAAATCATAGGTGTTCATTGGAAATTGAGATGTTGAAAACTTGATTGAGAAAATCGCTGGGTTTTTACATACAACCAAAGGAATTTGAGGAATTAAAGTAAATAAAAGATATGCATGATGATATACAATTTGAGTCTGAAAATATTCATATTGTTAGAGTTTATTGAAAATTGTTTGCAACACATTGTAAAGATGGCTTCTCTTCTCTTCACTTTACTTTTACGTCTAGGAAATCTCCAAAGAGATAGGATTGAAGAGAATGAAAAAGCATCATGCTGCCTCTCAGCCGCTGTGGCAGCTCCATGTCTGTACATGGAAAGCTGGGTTGACAATCTGGGGCATCAGCGAAACCAAGACTGTGGATTTTAGTTCTGTGTGAGCTTCTTCTCAGCCTGTCTGTAGTCCACAGAGCCAAATTTATCCCTACCTCATCCTGCAAATGTAAGTCTCTGGTCAAAAATGAATGGGGTTACTTATCCCGAAGCCCTCATTGTTATTAGAGGGACAGTGGAATAGATGAGTTCTTCAGAAACTGTGTCTGGCAGTCGAAAGCCAAATTACGGTCATGTGCCTCTTAATAATGGGGATATATTCCGAGAAATACATCATTAGGCAATTTTGTCGTCGTGCGAACATCACAGAGTGGCAGGAGTCTCCCTCTGGCAGTGTCTGTGTGAACCATGTGTTCAGCTGTTCTATAATCACATGTTGGCAGCTCAACAGGCAGCTCAGCCAATCGCAAATGCGCCTAGAACTTTGTTTCGCTCACTTTTCAAGCTCTACTGTTTCTGTTTCTCCTTGCTTTCCCTTACGTTCTTCTTGAAGGGAAAGTCATGCCTCCTTCTCCTTACAGATCTGAATCTCACGCCTCATAACGTCCATGAAATCCAGTCTGACTTCTACAATTCTCAGTGAACTCCTGATACTCAGAACTTCACCTCGTAGAGCTGAGCTTGCAATATGATAATGGACTGTTGATTGATTAATTAATTAATCTTGTATATTCTAGCCATTTCATCTGAGTTGGGTTTCAATCTCTAACTAGATTCTATACGTAATTTCCTTTCATCAGCGAGAACAGGGCTGAGCATCAGCAGGTGCTTACTAAATATTTTTGATGAATTGAGTAAGGTGTTAAAACTCTCTGAAAGGGCCATAGAGTGTGTTAAGCAAAACTGTGAATTCCAAGAGACTCAGAAAGGTTTGACTCAAAATCTCTTTTTTGCCACTTGTTAGTTGTATAATCTTGCACAAATTTCTCAACCTCTCTGAGCTTTAATTTCCCAATAATGCTACATAGCTGATACCGTTCATTGCCTATGCAAAAGCAGCCCATTTTTGCTATCTTCTCCCTGATTTTATTTAAGATTCAGAGATTTATGGATCTTGGAGAAGAAAGCCTAGTTGTCGATCTAGGGGGTGGCTGTATCACCCAGTCTGGTCAATGAGATGTGGGAGAAGCCTGCTGGGAAATGTTTGGGGGAAATTTTCCTTTCCGATAAGAGAGAGAGATGCAAAGAGAACCTCCCTATCTTACACCATCCCCTCCCACCTGACTTTGAGCATGGCCATCTGAGGATGCGATGCCAGGAGATGCGACAGCCATACTGCAACAATAGAAGCAGGCCAAGAGATTTGCAGAGATGCCAAACCAGACTCTGACAGCAGAGAACTCCTAAACCAAAGTGGAAACCACCCACCTCCGGGTTTTGCTCCTGTTGTAATTGTTACATGAGATAAGAAATAATAGTCTGTATTGTTTAAGTATCGTTAGACACATTAGATCCTCTGTCATTTGCAGCCAAAAGCGTTCCTAAGCGGGTAGACTTTTGTGAAGGATAGATGAGATCATGCCTATCAAGTACTTAGCCTATTATCTTTCACACGGTAAGTACTCTATAGTGTTAGCTGGAATAACAGAGCGATGGTTGGTGGCCAGGTACAAGAGTTGCCTTCCTGCCTAGATTAGAGCAATTTTATGAACTTGGCATAAGACGAGAAGACATTGACACGTCAAACAACTAGAGAAAGTTGTAAAAGGCAATCTATGATTAAAGGCCAAATTGATTGGCTCCAATGGTAGGAAGTGTCGTGGGTGGAGGGAGAATGTGTATTAGGACCTCAAGAAGAGTTGAGATAAATTTTAAAAATTGAAGATTGACAGGGAAAAGCACTAAAATTAGAGACATGGGAAGGCAAGATCACTAGAGCAGAGTCTGTGCGACAGGGAAGGGAGAGAGCGGAAAGGGGGCAGCGTCTCAGGGGCCTCTGACTCCGTCTAATCTAAAAGCAGACGACCGCGAACTCTGGAGAAGAGAAGTGACTCATAAAAAAGTGGCGCTTTAAGAAGAAAAATCTGGAAATTCTGGAAGAAGAACCCAGAGGATAAGATGCCTCTTAGGAGATCACGACAGCAACCCAGTCAGTAGGTCAAGTAGAAGAAAGAGCACAGCTACCACAAACCGTCCCTTACAGTTACAAAATAGATAGGATCGTGGTCCCTCAAACTACCTAAAACAGCAACAGCTGAAGGACAGGTGACTTCTACGGAAGTTGCGAATAATGAAACAGAAAGACTTTCACCTTCTCATTTTCTTATCCTTGGAAAATGTATATGAGATCATCGTAAGTGGAAAAGGAGATAAAAAATTATATATAAAGTATGACCTCAACTGTATAAGTAAAATATATGCAGAACTATGACTTGAAGAAAACATGTCAAAAGGCGAACACTGGTTATCATTGGATGGTTGATTCTAGATGTCTGTCGTTATTTTCTTTATACTTTAAAAAATTTCCCCCATTTTTCATGATAGACATGCGTTACCTTTAAAATCAGAAACACATTATCCAAGTATCTTTACCAGAGTGTTTATTTTCTTCCCAGTAGTACTACAGCGAGTCATGTAGAAAGGAGAAATGATTCCCAAAATAAGAAAAGAACTTGGAGAATAAAGTTCTAATCTTCTAAGTGGGAGAGAGCATGCACTGCTTTTTCTCTGAAACACCCATCCAACTGTGACCGAACGAATGGCTTGTACCGTTAACCACTCAGCGTCTGCCTCATTGCCAGATGGCAAACACCGTGAGTTGCACAGCCACAGTAGTCTCCCCCATGACTAGGACAGGCACATGGCTCATTCTGGGCGCTCACTATGTGTTTGCTAAATGACTTACTTATGCACATTGCAAAGTATCTCTATTCTCCTCTCCACTTTGAATGAGTAACCCCTGATACTTCCATAATTACCCTTTACCGGTAGACGGGGAATATACAAATTAGAAAAATATATCATCTCTACATCAGCCATTATGTCACCACTGAAATTATCCAAAGCATGATATAATTGTAGGATTGAAAAGGAACTCTCGTTTTGACATAAAATTCCACATAATGATTTTATGTTATTAATGAATTTCATTTAAAGAAATTGAAACACTTTATCTTGGACAAAGATTTTGAATTAGCCTTAGTATTCGGACAGCACGGTTTGCTCTGGAAATTTTAAATAACTGTTTTCTGTGAGCAGAACCAAATGTATGTGAAAGAAGTCACTTCTAAGGTGAGAAATTGGGGTCACCTTAACTAAAACACCCTCTAATATATATTTCTCGAAATAGCTGTGTCAGAGAATAAACATCTTCTTTTACAATTACCAATAACATCACATGTTAACGGCTCTGGGAGAAATAAGACGTGTACCACCTAAGTTTCTGCAGAGAGGGTGGAGTCAGTGTGGTCTGGGAAGGAATTTGGGGTGTGTCAGGAGGATAAGCAGAAGAATGAGGGCTTTGAATAAGAGTGAACCTAGGCCACAGAGATAGACAGTCCTGGAAACCAGCTCAACACAAAGCAAAACCTCACCTATTTTAAGATATTGCCCTGGGGCAGCCATGAGTGTGAGAAAGTTTGCACATGAAACAAGCTTTGTTAGGGAGTGTAACACCTCATCCAGAGTATTTATCTTGTTGCCAAGTGATAACCCCAACATAGATGCGGGTGGATGGCAGACTGTGGGAGCAGATATCCAGTGTTCTGTGAGTCAACTATTTGAAAAAGCCAATAACCTGCCTAAAACTTATCATGCCAAAAGCACATAAAGAGAAATTGCATTTTCAGAGCAGCTTCAGAATGCACTGTGAATCATGAATCCACTCATCTTAGCCACCAGGTGAAACTCTCTGCTTACAGTGATACATTTCCTTCTAGGGTTCAATAATATAATAATGAACTCATAACCACGACAAATGCATCATTCAACTCTCTATTATCCGTGCGGATTACTTACGGATGAATGGATTATTATACTACCTAACGCATCTTTAGCCTAACATATTCCTAGTACATCTCAGCCAATGCTGTATGCCTAG